AACGGTATGAAAATTTCTTATCACGATTATAGTGACCAAAATTATCACGGTTATCAGTAGTATCACGGTATTGTTAAAATGTGCTGGAGATGTTAAAAAAGTACCGACACACACCAAGTTTTATATTTAAATATCAACAAAAAACAAATAAAATGCACACACACATATATATATATATATATATATATATATATATTATGTAAACACAAGCTTTTATTTTGGATGCAATTAATCACGATTAATCAAGTTGACAGCCCTAATAATATAAATAATATATATTTTCATGAGATTCACAGTTATAAACAGGAATCAGAAGAGAACAGTCACCAGTAATATAAAGCAGAGAGTCTATGTGAGAAAGTGTGTTCTGTTTTTCTCTGCTGACCAAACACAGCTGGATCTGCCAAAAATACTTCATTCCCCACTTCAGATTCCCAAGCTGTGAAAAGTGAAAAAAGCCACAGCGCTTCTCTCGAAGCTTCAAGTCGCAGCTGGTTTGAGCACTACTTCACACAGAGATTATCAATATAAACTCAGTGAACCATAATCTATAGGTGCTGTGCGATTTATGCAAGAAAGATGTGTGTTTTTGTATTATGCACTGAAGGGGCTTGAATACCAATCACATGCACTGCTTCATATTCTGTTGCCAGAGGGACGGTGGCTACTGTATTGCATTAGAACGTATGTTGTCATTTCTGCCAGTGGAAGAAACTAAATCAAACTTTCAGTCGATAGAACACAGACAGCCACTAGCTGGAGTCAGCGCGGGCCACGCACAATCATCTGTCTCTTCTAAAAGTCGATACGAAGCCATCCACAGAGGCAAATGTCTTGAGTTTCATGAGATGGTCCCATTTTGCGTATCATAACATACAGGCCGTAGATGGTTTCTCTACAGAAACAGGAAACTGGTAAATGTGAGAATAAGTCTGCTGTACAAAAGAAACACATCAGACAGTTCTTCAGACCAGAGGTGGGTAGAGTACCCAAAAACTGTACTCAAGTAAAAGTAAAAGTGCTTATAGAAATATTTACTCAAATAAAAGTAAAAGTAATAGTCTGTATAGTAACTTGAGTAAGAGTAAAAAGTATCGGATAAAAAAAAAACTACTCAAGTAGTTAGTTACTAGTTACTTTGGATCATAGACTGTATATCTATTGTCTATTTTTATTTCGATATATAGATAAAATGTATGTAATGTATATACATACATATATATATATATATATATATACACACACACTGCCATTCAAAAGATTTTTAATGTTTTTTTAATGTAATTTATTTCAGTGATGCAAATCAGAATTTTCATCAGCCTTTACGCCAGTCTTCAGTGTCACATAATCCTTCAGAAATCATTCCAATATGTTGATTTATTATCAATGCTGTTCTTTTTAGCTTTCTATTCATCAAAGAATCCTGAACAAAATGTCACAGGTTCCAAAAAATATTAAGCAGCAAAACTGTTTCCAACACTTGTAATAAATCAATATATTAGAATGATTTCTGAAGGATCATACGACTCTGAAAACTAGAGTAACAGCTGATGAAAATTCTGATTTGCATCACTGAATTAAATTATATTTTAAAGTATATTAATTATGTTTTATATATAACCTCTGACACGGAGAAGAGTGAAAACTAAACATAATGAAACAAATGCACATTGACGGATCTTCTTTCATCTGTTCTGCAAAATGTAAACAAATGTATATTTCTGCAAGCGTAAATATTGTGAAAATATCAATATTAATTGTGTCTAGGTTGCGCGCCGCTGAGCAGCTAACGCGGGTTTGGCGGGTGTTCATTTCATGTAATTTAATGTATAAATTATACATTGTATTTAATGTATAAGGTACCTGTACAACAAACTGGTAATGTCATAGTGGTATCCTGTACTGTAATCGAATGTAGCCTATCTATACCTGTGGAACCGTAGATAGCACACGTGGTGTTCATCTAATAAAGATCTTCATAGCTAGCAAACAACAGCCTTTGCAGATTTGCTTTCAATTGACTGTAGATCCAAAGCCACGTCTTCAATGCTCTTGATGTTCTTAAACTTTCTGTTACAACTCAAAACAGAATTGACTCAAAAGAATGAATCATTTGGAATAAATTGAAGCATTTTAAACTTGTATTGCATTAAGATAAAGTAACGAGAGGAGCGTCGCCCACAGTAGCGAAGTAAAAGTACCGTTTTTTAACAAAAATGTACTTGAATAAGAGTAAAAGTACCCATCTTTAAATATACTCTAAAAGTATTAGTTACCCCAAAAATGTTCTCAAGTAAATGTAACGAAGTAAATGTAACTCGTTACTACCCACCTCTGCTTCAGACTGTCAACAAGTCCTCTCACAGCATCTGACTGCAGCATAAAATACAAGAAAACTCGTGTTACAAATCAGAGCAAAGCTACATCAGATATTTAAAGTAAAAAAAATTATAATAGAGTGTAAATAGAATTGAGAAATGAAGCTCTGATTTTTAAAAGCACTTTACATGACTTTGTTCTTGTGATTTCAATATGATTAAAAAAATCCGAAATCTCAGTGAAGAATTGCAGTACCATTTATCCATAGTCCACCAATCAGAGATTGCTGTTATGGAAACTACACTCTAAAAATCAACAACAACAAAAAAAAACTTTTAATAGATATTGTACATATATATATATATATATATATATACAGTGGGTACGGAAAGTATTCAGACCCCTTTTTTTTTTTTTTTTTTTTTAAAGAAGTATTTTATTCTCAACTTTTATTAAAAACAGTAGAATTTTGAAATGTACTGTACATTTTTTAAATAACTGTTTTCTATTTTATAATATTATGAAATGTGATTTATTTCAGTTATTGCAAATATGAATTGTCAGCAGCCATTACTTCAGCCTTTAGTGTTACATGTCATGTAATATATTCTAAAATATTCTAATATGCTGATTTGGTGCTCAAGAAACATTTTTGTTATTATTATTGTTTAAAAAACAGTTGCTTAATATTGCTGCTTACTATATTTGTGGAAACCGCTTTTTTTAAGGATTCTTTGCTAAATAGAATAGAACTGAATGACTTACTGACCCGAAACGTTTAGTACATTGTAAAAATAAAATAAAGGTTATCTGATTATGTTTTATAAGAAAATTGCTATTTCAGTCTTTTTACTTTAAAATTCAGTGTTGCTTGCTATTTCTTTTGTACTTGTAACTAGCTATTTCTGAAATGGCAAAAAATTGTTTAAAAA